CCTGTCTGTATGGATGTGTGATTGTTGCCTCCTGGTTTGTTTTGCTTGATCTTCTTCTCTGTTTTAATATTCTGCCCCGGAATCTTTGAAGCTTGAAAGGCATGCCTTTTGCTGTTGTTAGGTGCTATGGAGCCAGTTGGGACTCCTGGGGTCCCTCGGTGAGACAGAACGACACACGGCCAGGTTGCTCACTGGCCTCACAATTATGATCTCAGCCTACGGTGACAGTCACTGCGCAGATGCATCTTGTGGAGGCTCTTCCTCATGTGTACTGTCCTTTTGCTTTACCAAGCAGATTGTCTTCTTCTAGGGACTAGTCTTTTCCGGTAACATAGCCAAAACACGTGAAGTTTCACCAGATTTGCTTCTAAGGGCCCTTCGGGCTGTATTTCTTCCAAGGCAGGTGTGCTGGTTCTTTTGGCCGTCGTGGGGCCTCAGTGCTCTCTGACAGCACCATCACGCGAATGCATCCGTTTTCGTCGGGGTGCCTTGGTCAATGTACGACTGTCACACGTCCCTGGTGGCACTAGAAATAGCATGGCTTGGATCAGGCGCACCTTTGTCCTCAAAGCCAATTCCTTGCTTTTCATGTTTTTTTAGTTCCTTTTAATGAAAGCTCCTTTTACTCCCACCTGTACTTGGATCGCTTAAGACCTTTAATTAAAGTTTCCCTTGTACTCTGCAGTCTGTTGGTCCGTCCTACAACTGCGTCTCCATCCCTCGACCGTGTCCTTTTTAATGTATGTTGGGCTTGTCCACTCCTGGCTCTGTCAGGTCCTGCTGTTACAGTCTTTCCAATATAAGTGAACTCTTAAGCAATGGAGGAAATAGATTTCCACTGTTATGGATCAGCTGCGACCAGCCTCACCTAGCAAACTGCTAGCGCTTGGGCACCAGGAGGCGGCCTGCCCTGCAGATTCACAGACCTCTCCCAGACCCGTGGAAGCCACTCCTGGCCTGAGTCTCATTGCCACTGAGACCTTCAGTTCACCCTTGGGGCTGAAGGGGAAGCACTGATCCATCCTGATTCTTTTGCCCAGAGATCCTGGACCATGTTCCAATGTAGGCCAGCGCCCCAGGGCTGTCCTTTCTGCCACAAGACAGTGGAAAATGAGGCAGGGGAACTATTTCTCAGATGCCCTTTTAGGAAGACTTTATGGCAAGAACGGGCCATCAGTTTTCCTTTTGAGATAAGCTTAGTAATAGAGCATGCTAGAGTGTAATTATCTAACGTAACAAATGTCTTTTAGTTTTAGGGACACCTTTCAAATTGGGAATATCTTTATTCTGATTCTAAAAGTAGCATCTACGTAGTGTTAAACAAAGTCAAGCCCTGTAAATGTATACAATGAAAGCCATACAATACTCCACCACTCCATCATCATCATCATAAAACACTGACCTGTTAGCCTTCTAGACTTTTCCATGTTTATGGTTTTCCCTTGATGTGGGATCATAGATATCTTCTATGTTGATTCATATACTCATAGATCTATTCTTTAGATGAATGTATAGTATTTATTGTTCAGATGGGCCTACGTTTATTCAACTAATTGATAGGTACATTGCTTCCCCCCCCTATTGGCAGTATGATTGTATATATATCCCTGTACATGTATAGCATTATGGATGCATCAGATTCTTTTTTTTAAATCATTTTATTAGGGGTTC